ATTATTTATTAATATTATTAAAGACAGGTTAGAGTGGGTTGGTGAGAAGGACAAGGTAGGGAATGAGGACAGAAAAACAATGTAGTCAATGGAATGAGATACCCACAAGGCATGAGAGATGTTCATCAGATATAGCACTTTTGTTGGAGAAGAAATTCAGTTGAGTTTAATATTCATCGTTATGACCTGTTAGCAGAGTAAAATATGGGGCCTTTAGTATTACCAAGTTCTAATGAAGTATATCATAACATAGTCCTTAGACTTATTTTTCAAGTATTTCTAGAAAACTTACCAAACAGAAAATGTCAGCAAAATTCTTTTGATGTGTGAAAATGCTCTGGCGGTTTAGTCACTTGTCAGTCTCATGTCCAAGTCCTACCCATCTGTCATGGCCCAATTGAAATCCTCAAATGGAAGACTCTCCCTCCCTCATCTGAATGGTCATAGCCTGGTGCTTTTTTCTTTGTTTTGACATTTGTTCTTTTTACATGCTTGTTATGTGTGTGTGTGTGTGTGTGTGTGTGTGTGTGTGTGTGTGTATACACACACCCACATACAGATATGTGTGTGTGTGTGTGTGCGTGTGTGTATATACGGTATCTTTGTGTGTGTATATATTTTCGTCTCATTAAATGATGAAAAGCATAGACCATAACTGAAAAATACTATGTTTTCCATAGCACCTAGCAGTTACATTTATGTAGTTTGTTATATTAAATATATGTAAACGTGAGCATGGGGGAATGGTTGTTAGCAAATAATTAGGAGGAGTCATATAAAGGAGAATACAATTTTTGTGGCTTGGCATCTGAATTAATATCCTGAAAAATTATGTCACCTGATTATCGCCTTTTGTTTGAATGATACTTAGTAAAATAAGTTTCAAAAGTTCCCTTTTTTGTGCTATCAAGGAATCACATTAACAATAACTCTTTGTTGATACTTTGTAGTTGACCAACTACTTTCATATTTCATTCAGACTGAGAACAACTCAGATATAGAGATATAGACATCACAGGGGCTTTATCCCATTTTGCCAATGAAGAAATGAATTCTCAGAGAGATACTGTGTCAAAAGTCACATTACTGGTAAACAAGATGGCTAAGACAAACTGAGGACCCTCTGGCCCTAATTCAGTTTTCTTTCAATGTACTATATGGCTTCTGGATTTATTTTTATAGACATTCGATTGGCTCACTTATAATTAAATCTAACTTTAAGGAGCAATTTGGTTTACTTTATTTAAATGAGTAAGAAATAATTTACCAGAACAGTCTCTTGGTCAGAGCTAAGATCACTTTTTTCTTGAACGACCTTTGTCTTTGTGGTTCAGAGCTTCATACATGGCCCCTACAGCAAAATAGGGAAAACACTGCCATTATGGCTAATGTTGATGCTGTGATTTAAAGAAAAGAATATAGAAGTCATATATCTGTGAATAACCTTGTTATTAGCATTTGGGAAAAAGAAAAAGAAAAACAGCAGATACTGATCTGTTTTTCTAGACTTTTAACTCTGACTTCTGGCAACTGCTTTTTGTTTTTTTTAAAGACCAACATTGTTTTGGATTTAGGATGATAAGTTACATTCTAATGAAGAAACTAGAAATGGAGAAGGTCATTATTCTTTAGAGGGATTATGGCTGGCTTTAATTATATTATAGTTAAAGCTTTCCCAAATTGAAATGGTGGGTATTAAATATATAGTATCTGTAATTTTATATTAAAACACTTAATGAGTAAGCCTCTGACTAAAAACTGAAAGATATTCTTATTGGCCTTAACTGATTATTTAAACTGGTTAATAACTTCTATTAAACAGATTTTTTAAAATTGTACTGACTTAAACTTATAGACCCCAAACTAGAATATATTTTTGTTAGGGGAGTTAAGGAATGAAGAACACATACTATTAAGAAATTGCAGAAAGTCATAAAATGCTTTTTCTTCCTCCTTTTAACACTTTTAAATGTTATTTGAATGAATTGCTGCTACTGGATAAAAACATTTCCTTATGTTCTTTATAAATTGTCTTAGACAAGGTATTTGGAAATTGCTGTACAGTGCAGGAAATAATTAAACTTGTCTGTACGTGAAACCAAAACAAGTAGTTGATATATTGAATCTGAAACCAAATGTTCCGTGCCTCAATAGTTGTGATTCCTGGGGTGGGGTTGGGAGGGGAAGCACCTAGACTTTAAAGACCTCTCCCGCACCCAAGGCTGTTGGTGCTATAACTCCATATGGACTGTGGACTATGGTCTAGTTCTGTTTTCCTTATCTTCCTCACAAATCTCTTCTTTTTATATACTGTACAATTTATTAAATTGGCGTTCCAGATGAACAACTGAAAATGGTCTCCTTTTATATCAGATGAGCCTGGCCTATGTCGAAGCAGCAGAGTTCATTTCAGAACCTGTTAACAGAGAGCCTCCTTCCAGAGAAGCTCAGCTGTTGACTTTGCAAAACACGTCTGAATTCGATGTCCTTGTTATTGGAGGAGGAGCAACAGGATGCGGCTGTGCACTAGATGCTGTCACCAGAGGTAAGTCCTGATGCGGATGGATGTGACACAGATAAAGAAAAGTTTCATCTTTCCTTCCCAGTATAAATACACAGTGGGCACTTTGTTGTGTTTACTAATTTTGCATCTTTTGTGAAGCACTTTTATATTTTTTCCATATAGGCACTTGTACAATTTTAAAATGTAACATTTTTTTAAGTTAAATGAATTTATTTAAAAAGAAAATTTTGTATTCCTATGAATTCACCGATTTGATGTTCTGGTTAATTTTTTAAATACTTAGTAAATACATCTCTATGAAATAAAAATATTTGGATATGACCTGAAATCACATTTATGTCAGTGAAGAATAGAAAAGATTTATGAAAGTGAATTATTAAAATAATTCTTCTTCATCTTATACCTCTTAAAATCATTTTTATCCAATGAAATATGAACTGCAGTTTGGGAAACTCCAGTTTTTATGGATAAATAGACTTGCTAACCTATACTTCTGTCACAGTCAGCATTAGGAAAGACATGATGAGAAGTTCTTTAAAAATGGAAATGTGACATGAAAAGAAAGTTTAGTGTATAATACCAATGCTCTCACATATGATATGTTTAATAAAATAATTTTTTTCCTGTGGTTATTAGTGTGGAGTCAAGGGAATCTGAGTACATATCCTGGCTCACCTGGTTTCTGAAATATGTATGTATGTGTTCACACACATGCACACGCACACAGACATACAAGGGCAAATTACTTAATTTCTCTAAGGTTCCTTATATTTCAAATAAGGAAAAAATAGCATTTGTTAATGATGTCTAGAGGATTAAATGTGTAATCATGAAGAGGACTTAAAACAGTGCTTGTCGCACAAAGTAGAAGCTCAATAAATTATAGGTAGTATTATAGCTATTATTAACATGAAGGCAAAAGACTTTTAGAAACAGTTGTCCTGGAGAAATAATTCTTTGTGATATCCTTCGATATATTGGCATGGGCTGTGTACTGCTGCAAGGAATTTTGACTCTGAATATTTTAGTTAGGGTTCAATATTCATTACAATTTTATACTCAATAGTAGTAATTTGTAACATGGAGTAATTCTCAGATTAAATTACTACCACAGCCACCCTAGGTTTAATTACCTTACATACTTGGTAGAATTTATTCTTATAGAAACGAAATAAATTTAAGAAGATTTAGGCACACACCAACAAAAACAGTGCCCTAGATTTAGGATAATTGCACAGGACCCATACTTAAGTTTTGATACAGGTGGACTTCACATCCTAGGTTCTTTCTGTCACTTCAAAATAATGGTGAATTCAAAATATAGGTACTGAAATATATTCTGTTACCAAGCAAACCCCAGTTTTCATATAATTTCCTATCTCTATCCATGGTTTATAATTTGAGCCAGATGATTATTGGACATACTAAAGCAGATAGAAAGAATGGTTATAGTTATCTCAAGGTATTTGAACCCAACTCTCTCCCCCTGGAGGTCTGGGAAAGAGAATGTACATTCCCAGCATAATGGGAGGCCTTGTTTGGGACTATCCCAGGTTGTCCTGGGGCTACCCCAGGAATTAGAATTTACCAGGTGACAATTTTCTCTGTTAAAGAGGATCTTTTCCTCTGTAGGATTCAGAAAAATATATTTCTTGGTGCCTTCACTTATGTTCATGCTATGTACGAAAATATATAGCAATTCTTTTTATTTCAAATCCTCTCTCCCCTTCTCTTTCCTTCCCTTTTTCCTCCTTCCCTCCATTCCTCTCTTCCTTTCTTCCTTCCTTCCTTCTATTCTCTTTTTAAAAATAGAAGCAATCTGAATATTTCCGTAAACTCAGAGAAAGCCTGTGCAGGAGGAGAACTTTAATATGCAAGTAATAGAAGGCAGCATATGAAGCAAGGTCTGGAGAAAAATAGAAGGAATGGGGTATCAGAGATGTATCTTCCCTTTGGCAGGGAAGTAAGAGACATTTCTCAGGGACAGAAACAAAGGGCAAAGATTCTAAGATATAAGAGGGCTTGTGTGACTGTGAAGAGCTGTTCATAAACACTGCGTTTTCTACTTGTGGATAGGAGCAGGGGATTTCCATATAGAAAAGGTTTAGCACTACCTTGTGGAGAATGTGATAGGGAGAAGGGGTTACTTATCTGAGATTAGTAATTGTAAATTGTTATCTACACAATTTACAAGTATGTGAGTGTGTGTGTATGTGTGTGTGTATGTGTGTGTGTATGTGTGTGTGTGTGTCCCCATGTGTGTCCAGTAGTGCTCAGAGTGGAGGCAGAGAAAATACACAATTGGGTAGAATCCAGAATTGAAAACAGACTGTGTTGATAATAGAAGGAGTAAATGGAAGAAGAGTCTATGAAGGTAGAGGGAATTGTTTAAATGGAGACCTAGAACTAGCAGGGGCAGGTAAGGGGAGTTGGAAAGCCAGCTTCCCTTGAAGAGTCAAGGTGGGTCGAAGGACTGTGAATGAAATAATAATAAACCAACCACTATCAAATGCCTTTTATTCCTTTTCTCCTTTTGAAGAGTCTCACCTGAGCTCACTTTGGTGCACTTTCAAGATTTAGCTTTTTAAAAATACAGACAAGATCATATCATATTCTAGTTACTATTTTTACAGTGTTTTTTTTAAAATATCAGTACATTTAGTCAATCTTTACATGTATATATTCTTTTTAATGGCTGAAAAATTCAACACAGGGGTATTCTTATTAATGATTCTTTAGGTTGTTTCCAGTTTTTTTTCTTCTATTGAAAATCATACTGTTTGTGAGCCGAATACTAAACCAGCTCTGAGAATTCAAAGACCAAGAAGACGTAGCCTTGCCCTCAAGTAGCTTGTAATATATTAATATTTACTGAACAAATACATTTTTTCTTTGAGTGTCGAAGGACATTGAGTAGTGATCAGGATGTTAACTAATTAGGAGATGATTGTGAGTAATGATAGTGATGATGGTGATTTTGAGGCATTAAGTGTTTCCAGGGCCTAAATGTTGACCAAATTTATAATTTTTGTAATTAGGAACATCTAAGCTAAGAAAATGATGTACTTTTAATATGTCTTGGCATATTGATTGTTGTCTTTTAAAATAATTGAAAGTCTCTCTCTCTCTCCCCCCTTCTATA